CCCAGCTCAGAGGGCAGGTCTGTCATGAGAGGATGGAGAGTGGTATGAGGCAGGGCCAGAAAATCTGTGGCTATGCGCATCCCCTACCATTTCAGTTAAAGTTGGGTGTCAGTTGTAGACTGACAGGGGCTCTCTCTGGCCAGAAAACTAACTTCCAGATAACTTCCCTCATGGGGGTTGCAAAGAGGATGGAGCTAGACTGTTGTCAGCGGGGCAGATGACAGGACAAGGAGCAACAGGCTCAAGTTGCAGCAAAGGAAGTTTAAGTTGGATATTAGAAAAAACTTTCTGATTAGGGGGGTGGTAGCACTGGAACGGGTTACCCAAAGAGGTGGTGGACTCTCCATCCTTGGAGTTTGTTAAGGTCCAGCTTGACAAAGCCCTGTCTGGGATGATGTGGTTGGGGCTGGTCCTGCTTGGAGCAGGGGGTTGGACTAGATTTGACCTCTGGAGATCCCTTCCAGCCCTCATTTTCTGTGATTCTCTGATTCCAGATCCAGCTTGCAGGGCGTCATGCTGTGGCTCCTAGAGCCGCTATGTTGGCACAGCCAGCACCCACGGAGTTAGCACCGCTCCTGCCCAGACCCACCCCAGGATTTCCAGGCGTGCAGATCGGCAGCGAGTGGTGGTGGCATTAATCACCACGTGCCAGCCAACCCCACACAGTGGCTCTGTCCACCGCGGTGAGAAGCCCCATGGGGTGGATCCAGCCACCCCCCCAACTCATCCCTGCTTTCAAGGAGTGGAAAGCACTGAGCAGTCTCTGGAAGGGAGGAAATCAGCCACGTTCCAAGTGTTGTGTGAGACTAGATCCCAAGAGGCCAGAGTCCCATCTCTGTTCACCATGTGGTGCGCCTTCTGGACGGCCAACCCCAAGTGTTCAAAAATAATGACTCAAACCCATAAAAGCATGAGATTAGATTGAATCACCAGAGATTTTTTTTCTTTTCTTAAAGATGGGTTTTATAGCCACTTTTTAAATTCCCCTTCTGGTGCTGGAGCATCTGAAGGAGATTTGCCAGCTTTTCTTCCCTGTCGCAAGCGGTGGAAGGGTTGAGATTCCCATGTGATTCCACGACTCCCAGAGCTGGGCCTTTAAGAAAAAGAATAAATCATATGAGGCTTGCGATAAAATCACAAGTACTAGAAACACCGAGTCTTCCTAAACAGCAAGCTCATGACTTTTATGTGCCGAATATTAGCAGAATCCTGTGCCAATAGTGGCAGAAACCCAGCCTGCTTGTTCGAGTCAACAGAAGCCCAGGTGCAAACTCACCTGACAGGTCGTGCTTCTTCTCCCTCTCTCTGGAAAGCAGAAATGTTGTACCGGGTACTTGTATACAAAGAAATATTGTCTGTCTTTTAGTTCGTTATCCTGCCAGCCCAGCACTTTTTCACCACTGAAATGTATGAATGCCTCTTAGTGCAGCTTATTGGCATTTACTACACACAGTAATTAACTGTGTGTTACTTGTGCAGAAAAATTATGTGGCACTTATTTCCACTGGAGATAAAGTATGTGTCTGAAACGCTGTTGCTCCCGGTAAACAGCAAAAGTGGACAAAGCCGTAGTTGTCTCTAGGTTTGCTTTTTTAATGGAAGGGACACGAAATGGGAGGCTGTGAATGAGTTGACGCCATGCGGGGATGTCTGAGCCGTGCGTGTTGCAGAGGGGGGTGTCTCCAGACGAGGCGGTGGAAAAATCTTTGCTCCAATTTTTTTCAAAAGGCTGCAAATTCAGGGCCCTACGCTCAATGTTCATACAGAAGGGCTAGGGCTTGTTATCCTGCCTAGGAGTAGAGCAGATCTGCTGGTGTTGTCAATAATGCAAATGGACTGCAGGGGACAGAACGGACGTCAAGGGAGCTGAGAAACACCTAGGAAAAGAAGGTGACCTTTGCAAATACTCAGCCTATTAAGTCACCGCAAGCAAGTCCACAAATCCCCTATTAGGATTTGTCTTTGTAGGGGAGCCAGCAGCACGCGCACAGCTGGAAGTCGGTGCTTTTCCATCTTAGGCAGGTGCTATGGCTTACGGTTCAGGTCTTTATTTAAAATGGACTCCTGTTAATTGCAGGCTTCAAGAAGCAGGGAAGGTGGCCATGGCAGCGAGGGGGCTCGGCACCATCGCAGTAGCTAGATGAGGCAAACAAAGAAGTCCCTTGGTTGCCTGGCCTGCTCTGCCAGGCTCGTGCCGCTACACACACAAAAATGAACAATGCCTTGGATCGATGTTAATTAGAACGGAGCATCAGCTACACAGAACAGCAGAAGCGCGTGCATTAATGTCAGCAAGCCCGTTGGCACCGAGGGCCTGGCTCTGTACCACTGGAGTTGGGGGGGCTTTGCCTGTCACTCCAGTGGGTGCACGTTTGGGCCCTTGCTGCTGAGCCCAGGACCCTTTTTGTGCCATGTCGGCATCTGGTGCTAAACAGTCCCTCCGCTGCGCAATTAGGTTCGAAGCGTTTCCTTCCTGCACTGTAATGAATCAACAGCACATGCAGCTGCAGAGGAGTCGATTTTGTTAGCAAATGCTTTAAGGAACCCCTCTGTTTGTCCTGGGATTTCAGAAAAGCAGTGCGCTGTGAAGGGGAACTGCACACGTATTCCCGGGACCAGGCTAATCAAGCCCGGCAGTGTCATATCTGCAGTGCTGCAGCTCTCTTCATGCTGACATCTCAAAGCGCCCTGCAGGCACAGGGGCCTTATTATGATCTCAGCACCTCTCAGGAGGGGTTCAGGACCTTAATGGATCAAGCTTGCTGTAGGAATTGCTCACCAGCCTTGAAAGGTTCATAGGAATAACTCCAGGGAAACCACAGCTTGAAACAGTCTGGCCTTGTCCTCCCTATTCAGGTAGACATGTAAAGGGGACCCGTTGCTGTAGTGCGTAGGTGCTGGGCTCACATAGAGTTATGCACAGAGGACACGCCAGGACACCTGCCACAGCCTGGCTTGCTGCTTTTCTTACATTGCTCATGTTAATTCCTTGCCCTGCTCCAGGCAAAGAGCGATACCTGCCTTGGCATACTCCCCTTCGCGTGCCGGTGAGCAGGTATTTTCCTTTTGGCTGGGCTACGCCACTGATCCCTTTGTGCAAACAGTCTGCAGCACGCTTGGAGCAGCGCACTGCGCCCAGCAAAGTCCCTGCCAGCGCTGCCGCTGCGTGGGCACAGCCTGGGTTCACCTTGAGCCTTCAAGAGCTTAATGAAGACAAATGGTCAGAGCAGCTGGTCCATAATAGTTTCAGACGTCTTAATTGTTCCAGTCGAAAGCTGCAGCCCTAGAAAGGACAATACTGATTTAGCCTTCCCACACCATCAAGGTTAGCCTGCCAGTCGCTCCTCGGTGGTCGAGACAGTGGAAAAGGAGATCCAGGAGTCTGGTGTCCCCAGCAATTAAATGGCTGATTTAACCATCGAACAAGGAGGACAAGAGCTCCCAGACTGTGCATGTCTCTACTTATACATATGTTCAACCCCCGCACACACTCATACATGTCTGACCATTACATATGTAGTCTCAGAAGGCTGTTTTAAGTCCTAGCTCAGTCCCATCAAGTCACACCTGGTTTTTAACCCTTAGCATGCTGTGAGGTGTGAATGCTTCTCGATGGTTTGACCGTGTCTCAGGCTGAAATCCCAGGAAGACCTCCCCTAGGGCTTCAGCTGCTGTGCCATGAACCCTTTCCCCAGCGCTTTGAAATCAAGTGGCATAGTGATTTATACCATGTACCGTCCTGCCCCAAATTTGATGGCTTGGTTCTGAAAGGTGTCGTTACAAGGACCCGTAATGGGGCCGTGGTGGGGAAGTGTTCAGAAATCCTTGCAGGTATGTCTGTGCAGCGCAGGACAGCACCAGGCAGAGATACCTGATCTAGATATGAGTCGGCTAACTTGGGCTGGAAGCAGCATAGTACATCAGTACGGCACTCTTCCTGGGCCAATGTGTCCACTTCTCAGCACAGCTAAGAGGCCCAGGCAGAGCTAAAGTAGCGCTGTTGCTCCTGGTATCTGAGCTAGCTTGGTTCTCTCTGCATGCACTGCAGTGGTCACAGAGAGACCCTACAGATACCGGTACACACAGGTGTATGCTGGTTAGTAAAGCTGCTATGACAATAGCCATTCAAAGCATGACCCTGTTTGAGCTACCTGGGATAGCCATGGACAGTCCCTGTTAGAGCTGTCCCTTACTTTGTGCTTGGACATGCTACCGCCATGCAGCCCAAACTTCACAGACATTAGACATTAGGGCTGGAACGGACCTTGGAAGATCGTCAAGTCCAGCCCCCTGCTCGAGACCTCTGGAATAGAGATGTTTAATAAGAACAGGAGACATCTTATCAAATGTAGCCCACGGGCATTGCTCCACATCCTCCCTGGCAGTCAAGGATTGTCTTCACCCACCGGCAGGAAGAGGCTGATCCCTCTTCAGGAAGGTCTAAACATACTTTTTGCTCTTCACAGTGCAGATACAGAATTGCAGCAGAGTTTTTTCACCTGTTCTTACCTTAGGTGCACTATTTCCTCGCCTGCTCTTACCTTAGGTGCACTATTGAAGGGTCCAAGGAGAACAGCTTTTGGAGCAGAAGGCTACTGCATTGTAGTTGTTTAATGCCAGTGATACCCTGAAGGCCCATCAGTGGGGCACCTCGTTGCATTGGTCACTGGTCCCATGAGACATGATCTCTCCCCTAAAAGGTTTGGCGTGACCTGGCACAGCTGCCCAGGCCACTGTGGCAGCTCTCATATCCCAGTAGGCTCCTAAGCCTTGTTTCCCAGGAGACATTTCCAACCTGGAGGACCAGCAGGCAGCATAGAATGAAAACAAGTGGTTTGTGCATCCACAGGGCCACTGGTGACTGTGTCTTGTGCAGGGACCTGGCAATTGGTTGCGAATGAGTGTGGTTAAAGGTGCTATTGAGCCATGTGAGCTGGGTTGGCTGCGGTCGCCCACGAGTTTGCCATGGGAATAATGCAGGGGGTTTTTCTTTCCAACAGGATACACTGCCGGGACCCCCTACAAGGTCCCACCTACCCAGAGCAACAGTGCACCTCCTCCCTACTCTCCGTCTCCAAATCCCTACCAAACAGCTATGTACCCTATCAGAAGTGCCTATCCACAGCAGAACCTGTACGCCCAGGTATGTATCTCACAAGCACCAGATGAAGGTTCGCGCTGAAAGCTGAGGTGCACTCTGCCGAGCTTTCATTCCAGCAACAGAAAGTGTGTGGACAGTGGGTATCCACGTGCGAGAGTTCAGATGTTTTCTGTCCTGCTCTCTGGGTGAGGAAGATTATAACCAGATCCTGTGTGACAAGTAGGTTGGGTGCTGGTGGCCAAGAGGTTTCCAAGGAAAGTTTGCTGTAAACATTGGAGGAAATGATGCTGGTAATGGCATGTGGTAGACTGGGCCATCTGATAGGGATATCTGATAGGGTCCTTTCATGCTTGGCAGCATATGCACAGCTTGCCAGGCCTTGAAGCATGATTGGAGTGAATTGGTCCTCAGAGCTCTCTGCACCAAGTCTGTGCTGAATTAATCTGCTCTGCCTCCAGGAGGGGTTGTGATGTCTGTCTCTGGGTAAGATTTTTGCTGGGGCTTACAGAACAGACCCTAGGAGATGCTGCCTAAGAGTCAGCTATTAGCTCCTACTGCACCACGCATGAGGGCTTTGGGGTGAGAGGGCCAAGAGACCCCACCTAAGCAGGCTTGCTGCAGAGGGGACAGTGACCGATCAGCCCTTTGCTTTGCTATCATCACCAACCTTCCTGAAACTAGAGAAAAAGTATTCTTGTAGGTTTGGGACGACCTCTAGATGATCTTTCGTTTCTACCCCAGCCTCTCTGTACTGTTATTTGGATGTTTGACTAGCGTAACTTTTAAACTGGTGTGGAAAAGATTCACATACATATTTTCACTGGATAGCAGCCCCCACTTCTCCTTGATTTCTCATTATTTGTGGGGCTGAAGAACCTTTTGCTGTTTGTTTTTATTTTTTTGTCAAGGTGTGACCCAGCTTGACTTTTGGCAATTTTCACTTGTCCCGTTGATTCTTGACCTGTCCTCTATTGCTGGATTTGCTCTTTGATTCATTGCTTGCAGGCTTCAGGCTTATTCCTGGCACTTATTCATACAGTTAGCTTTGGAGCCCTTTTCCTACAAGTAGCCTTTGAACATGGGAACTTGGGGCACAGCTTCTGAATCAAAGCTTCCTAGGTCTTAAATGCTGGAGGCTGGAAGTGGGAGAGGAACAGTGGGAAAAGTCCTGGTCAGACCCAGTTCGCTCTCCCTTTCAGCATCTGCTCTCTGCTGCTGTGCGATACCGGAGATTGGGCGAGACGGACCTATGGTCTGACCTAGTCAATGGCAGTTCTTATGTTCCTAAGTCTCCCCCTTCTCCCTGGAAGGAAGATCCACATCGTTTTTGCATCTTTGAAATGTCAAGTCTCTCCTACATTCAAGTCTTTGAGATTTCAGTAACTTTGGTAACTAGTTCTCACTTGGTAGATCAAAGTTTGCCCTTCTGAATTCGAGGCTCTTGGTTACAAATCTCCTTCTGTCTTTCCTTCCATTTAATTTAAGCTGTATTGTCTCGTGCTCACTTCACCCAGATTTATCTTCTGCAGCCAGCTCTTTCGTCACCACCTCACTCTTTGCCAGCATAAGCCAGTCTCATCTCTGCTTGTTTCCATGAGGGGTTGCCCTGGGACCAGGCAGGTGAGCTGACAGGAGCTAGGCAGGTCCACTGCCAGAACTGACTTCTGTTTAGGCCAGGAGTAACTTCCTCAGAAACAGAGCATCTCTCCATTTCCACAAAGAAAAAGGTTGGTTGGCATCTTTCTAACCGCTGGCAGTGGCACTTCTGCACCTGAGTTTAGAAACGTCACCGTTTTGGCTAAACTCCTCACCTTGGAGGCCTCTCCCCTCCTGTAGCACAGGTGTGGGGAGAAGGATGGCCACTCTGAACGCTTTGGAGAAGTGTAATGGAGGGCCTCTGCTGCAAGGAAGCCCTGACCACCCCATCCTACCCTGCCCCAGAAGACAGGCTGGTAGGAGGAAGGCAGGTCTGCCTTCAGGGACCGCTTGACGCTGCACAAACCTCGCCAATCTCTGTGCGCTAAGTTGTGGTGTTCCCTAGTGTTTGCTCAGCCCCTTGGCAGGTTGGAAAGCAGGGGGCCCTTGGGGCTGCTGCCTCCCTGCCCTTTCCCCGCACTGCTGGACAAAGCCAGCAAGAGGAATCGATGCAGGTTGGGCCTCTTTTGGTTCAGACTCTTGTCTCTTCTGCATTGGTGGTGACTCCAGGGAAGCCAACAGTTCTTCCGTGGGGAAACCACCTCTGACCCATGAGGGAGGTGCAGCTGGACTTAGTGCCTTGCAGCTTAGCTACACATGCGTGTGGGAAGACTAGTGAATCACAGAGATGCTGCCATCAGAGCCCAGTGCACAGTTCGCTTCAGTGGTCTCAGCACCAGCCAAGGGCAAGGGTGCGGAGTGTGAGCCATGCAGCGGTGAGCGCTGGGTCAGTGGCATGGTTGTGTCCAAGAGGGAAGGAAAAGCAGTGGTTTTTTGTTCCCAGCTGGCCTGCCACTTTCCAGGGTGGCTTTTCATTTCCCTGAGCATTTGACTTCTGCAGAGCTTCTAGTGCCCAAACCAGGGCACATTGCAGCCCGAGTGGGCTCTTTATTACTCCACCCTGTAAAGGAACAGGAGCCATTTAAAATGCCATAAAGACATCAGGGACAAAAGAGAGTGTAACACGGTGCTGGGCGCATTGTATGTCTTCCTCATTTCTAATAGGACCTGACCCAATGTCCTTGGACATCAGTGGAGACAAGCACATTGGCTTCAGCAGGCTTTGGACTGGGCCAAGCAGAAGGCGGGGAGGCCAGCGCTCTCCTCTGAGGCAGTCTTTTGCATAGACCTCCCCAAAAGAAAGCCACTCAACCCAGTCGCACCAGCACTTCCACCATTGCCGCCTCCTGGAGGGCTGCCTTTGGGGCACAGTTGTCAGAGCAATGCTGAGTGCAGACCAGGTCGGCATCTGGTGTCCTCTTCGCACCGTTCTTTGAGGAGCATCGTGTGTGGAAAGCAAATAGTCTCCCCTGTGAGCCGTCAGTCTCACCACCCCGTACACGTATCCAGGCCAAGATGGTCTACAGTGATGACTGGTGACTGTCAGCACCCAGCCAGGAGCACTTCCAAGGGAATGGTGTGCTCAGCCGAACGCCCGCTGTTGTTCTAGTCAGGTACCAGCATCACCAGCCACGTTTGATGACCTAGCTCTGGAGGTTTACTAGGTGTTTCCCCCTCACCTTTGGCCTGGTATCAAGAAAATTCTTTTTCTTGGCAGCCATAAACTCACATACTGAGACTGGGCATCTCACTGGGGTCACCTGGCCCGAGTTCCTACTTGGTGCAAGGGGCTGGACCCGATGATCTTACGAGGTCCCTTCCGGCCTTACAATTTATGAAGCTACAAATCTTCTTTTTAGTTTTTTCCTCACTTTACAGACCTTTTCACATAATCCCATTTAGGTCACAACACTGCCACTGTTCGGTACAGTGATGCTCCTTGCTCTCCCCTTTGTGTCTCCTCCTCCCAGTAATGTCACGTCCCCCTACTCACTCGCCTCCAAACACCAGCATCTCTCCTAATGCTGGGACTTGTGGCACCAAATTGCTTCTTTATCCCCACTGACCCTCTGTGTTCAATGCCAAGGTCAGTTCTTTATCCAGTCAAGTGGTTATGTCCTACCATGCTGCCCTTACAGTGCCGTTGCCCGTGCATGGTGCTGTATTAAATCCACCTATTGTGCTCAGTCCCCTCGATGATGAACAAAGATGTTTTTGTTAAGATGATTTGTGGGAAAGAGAAGAGAGATTTGGTGTCCTTTTTCATTTCTTCCTTATATGCAGGCAGTCTAAAAACTGGGTTATTGTTTTGTTTTTCTTAAATCTAGTTATTTTAAAAATATTTTTACAATAGAAATCCAAATCCTGCCGGCTCTGGGAATCTCTCTGGACACCGTGACGAGCTTGTGGGGTTATTACATCATTTATAGGATTTTAATTAGACGCCCCTCAAACTGTGATATTTAGCATCAGTTTGAGGCTCCAGTGCTAAACAAGCTCTCGGGAACGGGAGACAGAAAGGTCTTTATTCAAGATTCAGCACCTTGCTCTTTCCAAAGAACAGAGGCTGCGCTTTGAGATCTACAATGCACCTCCAGGTAAAACCAGGGAAGGCCAGGCTAGCTATTTCTAATCCTTCCTGAGTTGAAAAAAAAAAATCAGGAAAAAATTGACCATATTCATCCCTTCACACATTATAAAGAAGAGAAGAAAATAATACAAAGACTCTTTTTCCCACTTAGCATCTTCCTGTCAAATGTGCATGTTCAAATTTCCTGTTCCTTTCTCTTGGGCAACTCCCCCAGGGACAAAAGAGAGAGATTTGAGGTTGAGGAGTTGCTTGTTTCTACCTGAGCTAGAGCTGAAGTCCTTAAAGGAGTCTTCATGCATTGATTCATCTGTATTTATCACAGACAGAAGATGCTCTTGCAGCCAGGCCTGTGATATGACACAGGTCTCAGTACATCACAGGAGGATGGGACCTGAGTTCATCTCATCTAATCCCTTTCTCAATCCCTGACAAAACCATCCCAGCCACGTGTCTGTCTAACCTGCTCTGGAAGATCTCCAGGGATGGGGATTTCACAGCTCCCCTGCTCCAGTGCTGTAGCACCCTCATAGTCAGAAAGTTCTTCCTAATTGCCAGGCTAAATTTCCTCTGCTGCAGCTTGAGGCCGTTGCTCCTAGTCCCATCCCCTGCAGCCATCAAGAAGAGTTTATCTCCATCCTCTTTCTAGTGGGATGGGTTTTATTTTGGAAATGCGACTTGTGTGGTTCAAAAGTCAATTGTGGCTTTGCCCCAGCTGGACTGCGTTAGTTATTTTGACTCCCGGTAGCATAATGAGGGCTGGGCGAGAGGGGCACTCGCCCCCAGTACCAAGTTAGGAGAGGAGCCAGAATCGCCCCCGAACCCCTACAGAATCTGTGCCCCAGCAGCATTGCCCTGCTGGGAGCTCCAAAACAGTCTCTGGCAGCAGCAGCAGCGGCTGCTGCTTTAAGAGCAACAGCTGGGGCAGGTAGAGCGCACGTGGCCACGGCAGCAGCTGCTCAGCCGGGGCTGCAAAGACATTCCTGCCACGGCTAAGGCTCCTACCCTGCGCCCCCCTAAACCCATAGCTCTGCTACCCCTATTCTCAGAACCTGCCCCCTCCCATCCCACCAGTGCTCTCAAAACTGTGTGCCAAAGCCTCCCTCACCCCCTGGCCTCCCGCAAGGTTTGCCCGAGGCACCGACTCTGTTGTGCCACTCCTAACTCCTCTGAGTCCTGCCACTCAGGTGGATTTGAGCCTGTGCCCCCTTGCAATGGCTCTGGACCTTCCCAGGTTGTGTGCTGTGCCAACCCTAACAGAAATCAGGGCAGGATCCTTTTGGTCCCTGATACTCTGCTTTCTCCAGCACCCGCTTTGGTGGGGTCCTGGTTATTTCACCATCTTTCCTCTTCCCCTAGCTAGGCTGAAAAAGTGCTGGTTCAGGTAACGCATCTATACTCAATCCACATTACCGGCGCCACTGGCAAGGGCTTCAGCATGGATCACAGCATGGGAAACCTTTGGAGTATGGATCCTTAGGAAACCTATCCCTGCTCCTGGGTTGTGTTGTACTGGCCTTTGTGGCTGCTGAAAGGAAGACCTGCTTAGAGAATTCAGCTGTATCCTCTCCTGTTGGGACCATCCCTTCCTTGAAGTTTCTCTGACGGGTTTCTCTGATTTGTGATAAAATTTCCCCTCGCTCCTTAAATACTGTCATCTTCCTAACCTTCTCCCAGTTTACAATTTATTGCATTGCCCTTGTACGTCCTCCTCTGCATTAAATTGCTTGCATTTAATGCATTTGTTTTGGGCATTATGTCTCATTCCATGTAAGGGTTTGTTCCCAAAGTTTTTACGAATGGATTAGACAAACACTTATCTAGGATAGTTTAGACAGGGACGGTCCTGCCCAGAGCAGGGGGTTGGACTAGATGGCTTCCTGAGGGCCCTGTGATCCCATTTCTTCTTCCGTGACCATTTCATTCTTGGCCTCCAATAGGCCTCCCCGAGCACTTCGTCCGGTTCCCAAGTCTGCTGTGTTGAATTCCAGCAATTGTTTTCTCACTTCAGGCTTTCCTGTGGGTCCAGTTTTACTACCTGACCTAGACAGCACTCCCAAGTGTTGTAGCTGGTATCTCCTCTCTTTTGCATCCAGCTATGTCCTGTGTCAGATGCAGTGATGGGCCAGTTAAAGTCCCTCACTGCAGCTGTAGAGACTCAAGTTTGAGCCCTGGACTTTTGCCAGCAGCCCCATCCCTTGTCCCCACCCTCCCACCCCTGGTGTCCTGGCTGCAAGTGTGTACCTGCAAAGGCAGTTGTGTGTGATACTGCTGAAGTCTCTCCCCTCTTTGCTGTTGGCCACAGAGTCATGGAATCAGAAAACAAGGGCTGGAAGGGACCTCAGGAGGTCACATCTACTCCAACCCCCTGGTCAAAGCAAGACCAGCCCCAGCTACCAGGGCTTTGTCTACCTGGATCTTAAAAACCTCCAAAGATGGAGATTTCACAACCTTTCTGGGTAGCCTGTTCCAGTGTTTTACTACCCTCCTAGTGAGAAAGTTTTCCCTAATATCCAACCTCAGCTTCCGTTGCTGCAACTTGAGCCCATTGCTCCTTGTTCTCTCATCTGCCCCCACTGAGGACAGTCTGGTCCAGCAGACCTTAAACATGGTAGGCCTCTGAGCTGCTAGGCTCAGGATGACCTTTAACCTTTTCTTTGACCTCTGCCCTTAGGGCCTCAAAACTCAGTCTCCCTCCTTCTCTTTTGCCTTTCCTTAGTTTTGCAAGTGAACAGCCATGTGGAGTATTTCTGATCTTCCACATGCAGCTTTTATCCACCACCTTTTTCAGCTTAGGTTGCGGGCTTCCTAGCTTCTTGCCTTGGTGGCACTGTTGACATTGCTTTTGGCTGTGACCGAATGAGCAGCTTTTTCTGGTAGTGTCCCAGCCTTGAATAAAGACAAGTGAGCTCCTACTTATTGCCTCACATTTGTTCATAGATGTGTAGAGCAGGACCGGCAGGTGCGATGGTAAAAACAACCAAGTCCTGTCAACACCGTTGCTTCATTGGCCAAGCCAGACTGAGAGAGGCTGATTCAGGCGAAGCATCTATACTCAATCCACATTACCGGGGCCACCGGCAAGGGCTTCGGCATGGATCACAACATGGGACACCTTTGTAGTATGGATCCTTTCCTTTCCAGGCCCGTTATACTGGATTCTCGTAGTGTCTCGCTGCTCTGTTAATTAGCTGCTGTGTTTCATCCCAGCAGTCACGGCACTTCAGTTGGGAAGAAGTAATCCCTGACCCCAGTTGACACCCAAAGGGGGTGGCACTCATTGTGGTTTGCAGGATGAGCTGCCTGTAAAGTGCATGAAGAATCCTTCATGTCCGTCCGGGTATATGATGAACCCTTGAGCTCGTGGCTGACATTAATTAGGAATGAGAAAGACCAAATTGGTAGGAGAAAATGCTGCTGATCGACACAGTTCTGGGGAAGAGATTTTTAGAAAAGCTGAGGTCTGAAAAGTGCAAAGGCGAGCAAAGTCCTCCTCGCAAAGACAAGAACAACCTCTCTGTGGGGAGGCCTGTACCCAGAGGTGTGCTCATGTGCATGCGTGTTAGGTGTTAGCTGTGTGAGGTGCTGTGCTATCTGGTTCAGGGTGTTGTAAGCCCTTGGGGTCAGGGACCTTACCTACCTCCCCACTACAGCACCAACAGCCCTGGTGTTTCAGAACAGTGATTTCAACCCAAATGGCATTGAAGTTGATCCTTGCTGACAAGCCTGCGGTTACCTTTATGCAAAGAAATAGACTCTGAGGTCCCCTTCCAGCCATTGTAGTAAACAAACTTTGGTGTTTTTCCCCCTTCCAAACAGGGAGCGTATTACACGCAGCCAGTGTATGCGGCCCAGCCTCACGTGATCCATCACACTACCGTGGTTCAGCCAAACAGCATTCCATCGGCGATCTACCCAGCCCCCGTCGCCGCGCCGAGGACCAATGGTGTGGCCATGGGCATGGTTGCTGGGACCACCATGGCAATGTCAGCAGGTGAGCAGCAGCTCTCTTGAATGTGGCTACTAAGTTGGTCTGGGTCTGCAATAAGCCTTCCCCCTTTTGTGATTTCTGCCATGACAATTAAAATCTCCGGACACCCAAAAGGTTCCAGCATCATAAATGCTGGCCCTTAGTCCTGGTGCAGACATCAGAAGTTTTGTCAGAGGGAGCGTTAGCAGAATCAGCTTCTACCTATAGATGGGAGATGACACATTGCAAAAAAAACAGTTTCAGGAGCAGTGGAAAACCCTCAAAGGTCTTCCAGGGAGTCTGTTCATAAAGCCCTCAATGCAGCCTGTACATTTGGTTATCTCTTGTTGCCATAGTGAATTATTCAAAAATGCCAGTGGCAAATAGAATGGGTTTTTCTTGCATCTAGAACTGTATCTGCCAGTTGCGACTCCTTCAGGAATACTTGATTGGTCTGTTTGCTCCCAATTTTAGTACAGTTCACATTTTCACTGACCAACAAAGCAACTCTTCCCACTGGCTCACCCTGCAGGGCCCCAACTTGTAAAGCCTGGGTGTGTTCTTCCTTCTCTACTCCCTCTCCTCCATGAGCACAATGAGCACCAGCTTCAGTCCTTATTCACGCTGCCCTTGTGCTCCTACTTCTAAATCCTCATGCTGTTAGTAGTAAAATTTTGGCGACAGAAACATTCAAGTTGGTTTCTGCAGAAGTCCCAAATTACATTGGCTCAGTGCTCAGTCGTGATGACATAAGATTAATTGATATCGCCTATAAACGAGGAGTAAAGAATCTTTTGATTAGCCACGCAGTGTACGTGTATGCCATTAGCATATGTGCGAAAAAAGGTCAATGTAGTGAGCGGTCTAACAGAATATTTTCATTCCACCACAGCCACACAGGTAGAGAAATACCCCGTGTGTCTTCTATACTGGTTCATTTTCTATGAAATCCAAATATTGTTTCTAACAGCGTGCTCCAGCTGTGTACGGGGGAGACCTTAAAATGGACATGTCCCCTTATTGTGGTCGTGGTGGTATTCCCTAAATGGGAAGTATCTGCAGCTGCTGCATGAATTAAATGTCTAGTTTTTTAATTATTATAATAGAAAAACGATGCCTGGAGAAACCTGTGAACAGCAGGTCCATCTGAACGTCCAGTTGCCTCTTCAAACAAAGCAGACTTGGATTGTGTTCTCCGTCCCGTATTGCATGCAGGGCAAAAGCTGTGTGGATAGTTCCCTCCCAAAATCCTTCAGAGCTCTTGCTGTGTTAGCAGTGCTGGACTAGCGTCCCTCATAGAAATTAAAAGTGGAAAGGAGCTCTTGGGAGAAGACCTCTTAATCCCCCTGCCCCGGCGAAGGTTCGTGGTTCCCTACAGCATCTCCCTCAAGTGCTTCCATTAATCTTTCTTATACAAGCCATGCATTTGGCTTTCCCGCTTTTTCCTGGGGAGACTGTTCTACCGTCTGGTGTACCTCATCCCACATTAATTTTCCCCAGATAAACCAAATTTCATTCTAATCCTCTTAACCCTCCCCCCGACCCCCCGTTATGATTTGGCATTTACACTTTCCAAAATCTGTTGGTACCTGCTGTAATAACATCTCAGGGCTCCTTTGCTAGGCTGCGAGGGGTGTCAGTGGGCCATTGCCTGGACCACTTATAACCTCCTGGAGCAGGAAAACCTAAGGAGAGGAAATGAGGGATGGGGGAAAGGTGTGTGCAAAACCGTTGACAAGTATAAGTGAACTTGGAAGGGGTTCATTCCAAGGCTTTGTCCAATACTGGCTACGAGAGCACATGCCGTGGATTTGGACTGATGTTTCCAAGGGTGAAACAAGTAGGTTATTGGATGTTTCTCTGTCAGATGCAGTATCTATGGCACTGAGTTGCTCTGGCATACTCCAGTATCTTAATTGAAGGGTTTAGTTGATGAGCTTTAGGCTCCTGGACAAAAACTCAGCTGCAAGAGTCCAGTTCTGGGCACGTTAGTCTTCACTGGCTTATGGGTGGAACCTGATTCTCAGAAGTGCTGAGCACCCATTATTTCAAGGGAAGCCAATGGGAGCTGCTGTGCTCAGCACTGATGCACGTTAGGCCCTGACTTTCCCATACTCAGTGTCATCCCCAGGACAGCTAGTGTTGCCTGCCAGCTGGATCCGAATCCACAAAAGGGGCTCTGAAGGGACTCTTGTTAAGCCACAGTCACAGAACCAGGAGATGAAATCCTTCGTCAAACAGTTGCAGACACATAAATGGGCATATGGAAGAGGGTTTACTGATCCCTAGGCACTGACCCAAATGCATGAGCAATGTAGAGGTAGCAAGGACTGTATGTAGGCAAGCAAGAAGCCATCCTGTGGTCAGCCACATGCACACACAGCCCTAGGAACCTGCCTCTCTCCATGGATGGTAGCTGGCCCCAGCCAGGTGAGTCTCCTTTACTCATTTTCCATTTTCCTTTGATGTTCCAGGAACCCTGTTGACCACCCCACAACACACCGCCATTGGAGCACATCCAGTTTCTGTGCCAACATACAGGGCTCAAGGGACCCCTACCTACAGCTACGTACCTCCACACTGGTAAACTCGCTGGCCAATCCATGTAAGTGGCTCTATATTTGGAGGAGGGATGTGGGGGGCAAGATTGTCTTCATCTGCTCTGCAGACAGGTTGGCCACACTGCAAATACTCAGTGCCTGCAGACATTTCAGATAGGTCATGGGAGCACTCAGCCCTGTCTCTACATCTTCCTTCTCTGCAGACTTCTTCTCTGTATGACTCTGTACATACTGAGCCATCTCCTGACGCTGGTCACCAAAGAGATGTTGCAACTGATGGCCACTTAGCGTAGCATAGTAAGGATAGAAAAGTGGTGGCCGGTGTGAAAGCAGTACCTACCTTGACTTCATCTAGCCTCCATCTGAAGGCATAAAGCTCCCAGTGGTCAGGCACAATAGCACTGCCATGTCTCATGCACAGATGTGCTGATCTGTTGACGGCTGCTGTAAAATAAGCCCCTGACACCCTTTGTGGCGGG